TTTCTTACATGTATTTATGTAAATATATAACCTTAAAACAACCCTATTTTCGCATACATAACATTTCTACACTTATTATCTAATTAGCTTTATCTAATTTGACAAGTGTATTAACAGTAAGCCTGTGTTTCTAGCAAGCTGATTAACTAGGTAAAATTGAAGCATCGTGAACAAGAGACAAAGCGTAATTAGGAAAAAAAACAGCAAATACACAGTCTTCTCTGAAAGACTTCAGGGATACTTAATTCACTAGAAGACGATCAATATGAAAAAAAGTGCTTGAGAAGCCTGTCTTTCAGATGAAGAAGACACAAAAGTGAATGATGTGTTATTGATTGACTGGGATAGGTATATGTATGTATTGTGTGAACTCTTCATTGTCTTCGAGTCTACAAAACAGCTGGTGTCGACTTCATACGTAAATAGACTTCACAACTCATCCTTTGGAATCAATTTTCGCACATTCACAAACCACTAAGATTTAGTCTACTAAAACGTCACCCGACACATAAGTGATCACGCAATCAATATAAAGAGTATAATATTTTTATAGATTCTCTTTTTTATTATCTTATTTTAATTTTTACTTCATCATATATTTTTATCGATTTTAGACCACAAAAAAATTTTCGTACGATTAAAAACAAGAGTACACAAATTATCTCTGAGATATATACGCATTAATTAAAAAAAAAAACTAATCAAAATGTATTTAAAGTTTTAGTAAAGTTAAAATGTTATCTGATTTTAAAGACGAAATGGCGTGGTTCGTGTTCTGGTTCCTTATTTTCTCACTTGACTTAGAAGTCACTAATGTCAATTCTCAAGTAATATATGCTTAGTTTGTTGAGGTATGCTATCTCAACTGTCGTATAAAATTATACATTTTACCGAAGTAAAAGCTTACAAACATCATCCAGAAGACAGTTGTACTATTAGGATGACCACTCTCGACCAACATGTAAAATGGAACTAATCTCAACCAGTTTAAATAATATATCTGTTCCACTGAATTAATCATGCAAAGATATGTATTATACTCAGATAATCAGGTTCATCTACCTTACAAAATATATTTGTTCTGTTGAGGTCATCAATCCCGGCCTATTCAAAGTGTGAGTTCTCAATCTACCTAAAGAAAATACGAATTAGATCAAGTTAATCTTTGTTTTGTTAGAAATTAAGCAAAGAAGAAAAAAATATATTCGCCAATAAATGTCTCATCCACTCAGATTAATGAGACGCAAAATCCAAGGATACGAAGTAAACTGTTTCTGTCAAGTTAGAAAAAAGGCGACGAGACAAGTTTCACATCTAATTGAATTGAGCTTGTCTCATTTCCGAACCATTTCTGCGCCCAACCGTAAATCAGGACGGTATGTTTTTCATATGTAATATGCTAAGTAAATAAGTAGTATATACTTTGTTATTTCAAAAGAAGTTGAGAATAAAAGGGTAAAAAAAACACTTTCATTATTTTTATCTTATACAAAATTCTGATTGATTTAAAAACACGTTTTTTGTTATAGAACAGAGCCACACTAGGCTATATGCTGTGTTCACTGAAAGGAATCGAACTCCATTTTTTAATGTTTTAAGTCCGTAGTCTTAGAGCTTTTTCACCGGGGGACTTAAAAATAGAATAACAGAAGTTTTTAGAATAGGTAAGTTCTGATTTTGATAATTACAATAATTACTTTTTGAATATAACTTTTACCTGATGATGAATCGATACTGTAAAAAAGTTACTGTTATTTTATTTTTGAATTAATCATTCATTTCAATATGTTCCTCACTAAACGTTAAAATTCCCATTGCATATTTTGTATGCGCGTGTTTATTCTTTAACCCTTTCCTAACTTAGCAAGATCACAGATTTAATATTGTTTTAAGCTCTATTTGTAATGTCCTGATTTGTATGTTACCCAGTGAGCATATGATGTTCAAATAGACATAGGATGCCTACGAAGTTTTAAGTTGACATCCACATTTTCTCGTAAATTCTAAGCTAAATTATAAATATGAGACAGTTGTGAAGTGTGTAGAGTTATTTCAAGACAGCAAGTTGAATCAGGTAGGGTGTTAACGTGAATTATTTGGATCTATGTTTGTTATTGCGCTTATTGAATTACTTTGCATAAGTAAATTGATCTTACTTTAGTCTTAGTATTGTTAGGGAGGTTTGAACATTATTTGTAACGTAGGCCTATAGACAAGTTACAACAATGTACAAGCGTTAAAGCCTATAGACACGTTAAAGAAGGAAATAAATTAACTTGTTATAGTTGAAGTGGGCTGGACGTTTAATTATTTTCACTGGATAATTTAAAACAGCCACTACAAAATAAGAACAGCGATACACATATACTTTTCCCTAACCTAACAAGGTTACAAACATAATCTTTTTTTCATGACTTAAACAGTTTGCAATCATATTACTGTTTTTTTTCCTAACTAAACAAGTTTACAGATATAATACTTTCGTTTTTCTAAATTACCAAGTTTATAAATAAAATATTTTGTTTTTTCCTTAATTAGCTATTCCTTTACTATTTTAATTTGAATAAATTTCCTTAGCTTTGGGACCAATTGTGGCTAAATGGTAATCGTGCCGAGAATGTGAATCCGAATATATTTGGTTCGCGTACCGTTGCCACAAAAACATGTTTCGCCCTTTGGGGCCGTAATTGCTTCATAAGAATGGCGATCAAATACTACTATTCTGCCATAAAAGAGTAGTTCAAGAGTTGGCGGTGGGTTCTGTTGACTTGCTACCTTCTCTCTCTAGCCTATCAATTGTATATTAAGGGCGGCTTTAAGCTGACAACTATTGTGTAGATTGACGTGAAAATTCTAAAATTCACTAGCTTTAACAACTAGTGTACCAAATTGTGTTGAACCTGAATATTGTGAGAAATCTATAGATAAAGTGCTTTAACATACTCTCCAATATAAATGAATACCTCTTAAAACGTCTATATAATTTTTAGTACATTGCCTTTTTTAACCAAAATCTCTACTTGCGTGCAATGTTTATAGGAGTCATTCATCGAATACCGTATATGATTGCTTTTTAATAACTAAGAATGAGATAATGAACACTAATTTACAATTTTTAACACATATTGCTCTACAACAAACGTAATTTTTTTTTCATTAACGATAATAAGAAAAAATGGTCATTATCTTTTCCAGTTATTCAAATATAACTTCAAGAAAATAAATGCTCATTTTACAGTTTATCTCTTTAACCGAACTAAAGGTTGCCGAACACAAAGCTCAACATCTCTTAAGAAATAAAACCTTTCATTCTTGGACAGCAGCTCTGTCGACTATAGATTTCATAAAGTTTGTGTAAAACATACTTTTCCTCTAAAGCAATAATACTAGATTGAATTAATCTAGGTAGATTAGGATGGGGAATCATCTTAATTAAAAGAAACTACCTACACCGTATTATTATGATTGATTCAGGTGAAGGTATATAATGCTTAACAAATAAATACGTTAAGTTGCCCACATTGTGTAATAAAGTTGATGAAAATATTACCTAGAACTTTCGCAACCTTGAGTAAGCGTATTTAACACATTTCTATTTATTCTGATATAGATGTTTATGGTTTTTTTTAATACTGATAGGCATTCTCAACGTTACTTAATTAACGAAGTATAAAATGTATATAGAAATTGCGACTGCTTAATCAACGCTTGATTGCAAGCCTGTATACATAGGTATGAATGTGTATATGTGGTTGGTTTTTTGTAGTGGAATTTGTGTTATAAACTCCAATGTTGTAAGTTTAAGTGCTATACTCGCTCAACAAAAATGGTACATTCGTTAGCTCTTCTTCACTTTCCCCAAACACGTGAAAGAGGTGTAACATTAAGACGAGTAAGAAGAGGTAATACATTGGATATTTCGATCTAAATAATTGTTTTCCGTTGGTTTACTGGTCAGGTACTGATTACTATTACTAGCTGCTAGTGTTAACAGAAATTGTAACAAGGTATTAAGGAATTTTAGAGACCATTAAGAAGTAGCTGGAACAGAAAGATTAAAGGGAAGATGACACTATTTAGGAGAAAGACGTGATACAACGCTTGTATTCTGTGTACAAATTGTTCGTTGAATATATCTCTCAATTACTTTGTATTGCATCAGCGTACTCGGACAGTGAATCCGAGGGTTAATGTTTCATGGCCCGTTACCGCAAAAACGCGCTTTGCCTTTGGGGTTGTGGGTAGGTTGTAAGAGTGATGGTAAAATCACGCCATCCGGTCATAAAAGAATAATCCAAGAGTTGATGGTGGATGCTGTTGACTAGCTATCTTCCCTCTAGTCCTCCAGTCTACAATCTCAAAACTATGGACGACAGTCTGCATTTTGTGTAGTTTTGCATGAAAAATCCAAAACAAACAAACAAAATCTGTAAGCATACCATAACACGCTATATGTATATAACGATAACAGTTTCTCTATTTTTAAATGTCCATGTATAACGTAGATCGGAAATTTGTTCTTTCACTTAAAACCTGTATTCATACTACTTCCCAAACTTATCAAAACTATACTTCCTTAACTTATCATAACCTATACTTCCCAAACTTATCAAAACCTATACTTCCTTAACTTATCAAAACCTATACTTCCTTAACTTATCAAAACCTATACTTCCCAAACTTATCAAAACTATACTTCCTTAACTTATCAAAACTATACTTCCTTAACTTATCAAGACTATACTTCCCAAACTTATCAAAACCTATACTTCCTTAACTTATCAAAAACTATACTTCCCAAACTTATCAAAACCTATACTTCCTTAACTTTCAAAAACTATACTTCCCAAACTTATCAAAACCTATACTTCCTTAACTTATCAAAACTATACTTCCTTAACTTATCAAAACTATACTTCCTTAACTAATCAAAACTATACTTCCCAAACTTATCAAAACTATACTTCCTTAACTTATATAGAACAAAAAAAACTACTTACCACCAGGATTGAAGGTTCTAAGTTCAAGTCAATTGGATTCATGATAATAAAAACCTGTTGATTTTTATGCACAATACCAGTGGACTCTTTGAGGGAAGCCTTACAGAAGTACTGCACCCAACCGTGTTTTCCTAAAAATGTAGATGGAAGACCCAGCGGCAAGCCAAGTTTGAATGGGAAAGAATGTACACCAGGTGGCAGCGTTATTACTCTTGCTCCTACACGAAAATTAATAAAACAACAAAATACGTGGAATTTTTTAAAATGTTTTTCGAGAGATCGATGTAAAAAAATGGCACCCTCTGTGTTTACAACAAACATTTGGCAATCAGAAACTCTGAATAATATACATGAAATATTATTTTGAAATTCAGACGAACAAAACTATTATTTTAAAGACCTGCTCGTGTATAAAACTTTTATTGTGATCCTGCTTTATTATTATCATTAAGTATTTAGTATTATGTATATAAAAACTACGGGTTTATAAAAATACAAACTCATATATATATATATATATATATAGAATGTTTTTCTTCATATAAACGCAAAGTCAGTTAGGAAGTATCTTTCACCCACTTCTATCAGTTCCTTTAGACTAACATTGTTATACTTAACCTTATGAATGTATTACGAAAAACCTGACATTTACATTTTCTCTCAAAAAATATGTTGAATTATCGATAAGAGGTGAACTCAAAACCGTCGCCAAAAATATCTAAAGTGGCATTTTTCATCTCTGAGTTGTCGCCAAAAGCAATAACAAAAATGTTATTTATTGAAATTAATTTATATATATATATATATATATCTATGTTTGTTTGCTTTAGCAAGTGGGTAATTAATTTCACTTTTTGTTGATGTGTAAAAATGAGGTTCTTTGATTGGAAAAAGGTAGAAACCGGTGATAAAAACAGTTTAGAGAAAAGAAGGGGGACAGTTGAGACTATTAAAAATTGTGCATATTTTGGAGCAACTTGTAGTATCTAGCAATGAAATGGAGGGAGTTGGATAAATATGTGAGTGTTTTTGAGAAAGTAAACTGAGGTGATGGTCCAACTAGCATGGTGTTTCACAAACTTTTCAAGAATAGCTTAAGAAAAAAAGGAAGCTTTAGCAAGCAAAATTAGGTAAGGAAAACAATGGGTGCAAGAAATCGTCGTATTCCAATCTGAACATGACAGTTTTCCTGAAATTTCTTGGTTTTCTGCTTGACTTTCGACGGAGTGGTCATTTACAGGACAAAGATTTTTGTGTTTGGAACACGAATCCAAAAGACCAACTACTGGCAGAGACAAGTGTTATATTCTCCAAGACCACAGGAACTAGATGATAGCCATGTTTTAAGAATTGTATTTCGAAAAATTGTTTCATTACCTTTACAATCTTACTTTATGGTACCTGATTATTTATTTATTTTTTATCAAATTTATTATCAAAACTCAATGTTTTTTTTTCAGATAATTTATTTTATGTTCGGTAAATTAGACTTGTTAGTCTCGGTTTATTATAATCTACGTCAAACAATATCAAGTTAGATTAATGATAGTTTTTAAAAGACATCCCATCTCATCTAATTTTAAAGTAAAATATCAATGGATATTTCGAGCACAATTATAGGTGTTCTGTTTCCAGTGCTGCCCCTTAATTTCAATCTGTTATATGCCGATTTCTATATAGATCTTGTTGTTGTTGTTGTTGTTGTTTTTAATTATTTTTCATTAAATACTAAAATAGTTCTTGTGACGGGTTTTATGTCTTAATTCACTTATTTATTTACAAAGTTTTATGTACATAGTTGGACATACTAATTACTAGCCATAAGAGATGCCATTTTGAGACCGTACGTAATTATTGTATATTCACTGTAAAAGACTGCTCGGTGAAAGCTTTTGGGTCTTGTTTTGGAGTTTAATAAAGAGTCACTCATTTGTCGATTCATCAGGTTCTTTATCTTATACACAGTATCTCATTTTGTCTGAAAGGCTAACTATATCCGCTATCCGCAAAATTAATAAAAAAGAATGTTTAATGTCAGTAAAAATCGATTGTATAAGGATTACCTTAACATACACCTCATCAATAGTAGAAGGTACATGTGTTGCTATAGTTACTGGTATTCTCCCGAACAGTTATTATACACAACAAATTACAACTGCTAAAGTTATGTTTATAAGCATTTTAAACAACAATACTTTTACTTATAAATTTTATATACTTATGATTAAGAGAATTAAAAACATTCTGACTTTTTCACGATAAAACTAGAATGAATTTAGTATAAAATACACATTAGTTATTTTCAGGGCACGAAAATACACAATGCTAATTTTTAGTAACTTTTGATTTATTTATCAATACCTTAAAACGTATTGATTGTAATGAACAAATGACGTAATTTCATGAACTTTCGTTTTTTGGTGTTCAAAGGACAGTTCACATATATTGTAGACGATAAGATCGTTACAGTAGTAGTTAGTATTAGATTAGCACGAGGTACCTGCATAACGTCTGGTATTAACAAACAGTGTGATATATGTATAGTATTTGGTATCTGTAGTTATAATGACCTTATTGTCTACAGTGCTAACTTACTTGCTTTCGCTGGTTTCTAATCATAGATTGTTTCGATCTAAAACAAATTCTGTCATCTGTTTCATTATGAAGATATCACATCTGTGATGGCATTGTGTTTGTGTATGTATATATGTATAACTAAAAAAACATTGTCAATGTGAACAAATATCAAGTTATAAAAAGAGCCCCTCCATATAAAATGGAGATACCAGACACACACGCCCAGTTAGAAAAAACAACTGAGGCAACCTTGGCCCACACTGCTTTTACAGTTGTCCCAGTTTGCTTCGTGTGGAGTTAGGATGCCCCAGTTGTTCCTTCTAAGTTGGCTTGTGTATCTAGAATCTCCATTTTAAATGGCGAGGCTCTTTTTATAACTTGACGTTTTTTTCACATTGGCAATGTTTTTGTTAGAGGTGTTACTTCTTTTTTAACACACATGTATATAGTTAACACAGTGCTACCTGACATTGCGTTTAATGTAACTGGTTTTGGAGTAACAGAAAAGCTATCCATGCTGTCTAAAAAGTCACTAATAGTCCTCTGCACACTTTTTATAACTTGACGTTTTTTTCACATTGGCAATGTTTTTGTTAGAGGTGTTACTTCTTTTTTAACTCACATATATATAGTTAACACAGTGCTACCTGACATTGCGTTTAATGTAACTGGTTTGGAGTAACAGAAAAGCTATCCATGCTGTCTAAAGAGTCACTAATAGTCCTCTGCAAACTTTTTATAACATGGGGGCGTCGAAACTACCGTTGCTCTCGATATTATACATTATATTTCTGTATTTATTTAAGTGACACTTGGTGTTTGAGCAGCTACAAAACCAGCATAATTGGACAGTAAACTAAGACTGATTGGGTTTTTTGGGTCTAGAGTTGTAATCTAGAACTTTATTAAAATATTTTCATCCTATCAATCCCAGCGATATCTTTATTATGTTTAAGCTGTGTTGGATCCATTACATAAACCAAAACCACAGGTTTAATATATTTTGAAAACTGCTTCTTAATTGTCTAGAAAATCGAATAAAATTACTGTTGATCTTTTTAGAACAAGGTTTATAATAAAAAAAATCGATTATAAACCTCAAAAGGTCTACACTTACCGGGGCCAGAAGGTCCTTCCCCTAACAGCCTCATACTAAAGTCAACGTAGTTTTCTTTGTCACTGACTTGGCCTTGCCCTCTGTTAATGAATCGTACCACTCCTTCACCGGTGATGTGAAAATACAAGCCTGGGTAAAATAATTGTTTTCAGGTAGTTTATTCAAGATATCTATCAACAAGTTGTAGAATTTCACATTAAATACGTGCTTACATAGAGACGTCTTGACTTACGTGCATCATCTTTCACTTCAAAAAAAATCTAAAAGCTTAAATTTGAATATTATTTTCTAGCGACTTTGGAATTCTGGAAGAAGTTTATATATCTTCAGGAAGCTTTCTATAAGTATTAGTATAGTCCAATGATTATAGCTATGTGCTCCAGCTGTCCCGACAGTAGACTCCTAACAAAATGTTCACATTTGACAGGAGACAAAATAATGGTTTTATTTGCATTATAGTTTTCAGCATATGAAGAAAATTGGTGTAATTTTGTGGAATTCCTAACGTAAATTTTACATATGACATATTAGACTTAACACAAGCCCACTTATCATAGTGAGTGGGAATGGAAGTTGCAATTGTAGCACTACCTGGTGCAATTGTGAACTAAATGGCCAAACAAGGTGGAATCCCCTTAATATTCAGATATAGCCTAATATTAACTTCAGACAAAAGGTAGGGCAGTGAGCCAGAAGTATCAGCCGCTACATGGAATATGTGGGCCACTTGAAATGAATAAAATGGTTGGCTGTCACTTTTATAACGCTCCCACAGCTGAAAGAGCGGATAGTGTCCAGCTACACCTAGTCTTACACCTTGAGCCCTTCAATCTGTAGGTTCATACTAGCCACTAAGCCTCATCTGGTCGGAGTTGGTCAATATTAATATAAAAATGCGTTACATTTATCTTTATATTACATACCTGGTTTAAAACTTATGCACACTAAATAATGAAAAATAGTATCACAGTATTGAAATTTACTTGATTGTATGAAAAACGCATTTTACCTTGGTCAAAAGTTTTTACAAACACGTGGACGCTTATAGACACACGCTCATATATATGTATGTATATATATATATATAAATAAATGAAAGGAAATAATTCACTAATTTATACTTTAATATAAACTAACTGGCCACTTTATTAGGACACCACAACTATTATCTTTTAACCCGAATCAATTTTAAGCAAAAGTAGCCTGTTCATAGATATCAGTAGAAAATTATGCCACCGAATGCAATGGTGCAGGTAATCCCAAAAATAATGGTTGAAGTCACCATCGTGCTCTTTAAAACATACTTGGACAACACGGACAGATTGGATTGCTACATTATTATAATGTGAGATGAACATGATCAAAGACAATATCCAGGTACACCTTGAATGTTAATCTCTCTTCTAAATTGAATGGTCCAACTTCTACAATTGTGAGTTTTGCTACTCTGTTACATCATCTCCAATGGTTGACATTCAAGTTAATCAAGTGTTTCTTGTATTTTGTTCTTACTTCTCTTTTACCGTCAATATAGAAAATGGTTAAGCATGACTTATTCGACAATATCATATGCTGCCAGTTATTCATCGTCGCCACCTCATATTCTTAGAACCAACGAGGCATTGATTGTCTATTTGCATCATTTGGCTGCACTCCTGACATGGCTCGTAATTCCCTTCGCAAGTTGCGTGGGAAAATTATCGACTCCTTATTATCGTTAAAAGGGATTGGCCAAGTGACACTCACAGTAGCCTGACGTTTGTTGAGCTTTTCTCTTGGTCAGTCTTTAGCATTTGGTGGCTTCAGTTGTTTTTTTCCTAGCGGCATAAGTATTCTCTTTCAATTGCAACTTTTGATTGACTCCAATGATAGATCATTTTGTATAGTCAGTTTAAAAAGAAAACGTTTTTTAACAACACGGCTCATGCAGGAAGGGAACCATTTATCATGACCCTTTCAAAGTCGGAGAGATCCTTGCTCTCATATGTTCTTGCTTTCTAGTTATTATATGAATACATCTATGCTTGTATGTATAGGATTCTAGTAATCACATAATATCTTATATGAAATGTATTTTCTTTAACGAATAAACAAATGTATATAGAAAGGAGTGCTTATAAAGTTACCCTATGTGTATAACATATTTTCGAAACGTTGTCTATATGCAATATGACATCAATATTTCTGTCTTTAAAAAGCATATCTGAATTATGAAAAAAAAATCTTAAGAAATTAAATAACACCCCACTGTAGTTTAGCAACAGTCCTACACATTCTGAAATCTTAAGTTATTCTTCATTATTAAATAGTATTTTGGACATAGGCAATTCGTATCTTAAATTTGTTCGTGGTTAAAATCAAACCAGATATCATTGTTAAAATAGCAAAGAACTTATTTGATTTCATGTTGGGTGGGACGGAGATCCGAACCCGCGACCCTCAGATTGTGAATCAAGCGCCTTAACCACCTGCTTGACGAATGAATGCATCCAATACTACCACCAATAATGAAGGATGTTAATCAACAGTCATCACATAACTGAATTTTTTTTAATTGGTAATAAATTGCCAACTACTTTGAATCTAAGATTACGGGACATTTTAATAGTTTGTCACTCAAAAATTTCCACATTACCTATGTGTGTGTATCAACAACATGCTCAGTGTTTTATGTTCTGCCCATCAGACACTATAAACAGTAATTTGTTGATACCATTACCCACAATAATTATCAACGTTGAAAATTACGTGGTTGAAACGAAATTAGCAAATGTATAGCCTCTAAAACGTGAACAACACGTTTTTTGATGTAAATAATGTTTTTCAAACGACTACATTTTTATAGCAATAAAGTAGCAAGTTATTTTTTCTTATTCTGGTTTATTAAAAATCAGTGAGTAAATTAAACGCAGAAATGCTTTTCGTTGTTACACATAAGGAGACAGACAAACGTTCGATTACTTACTTATGTTTTGTTTCTTAATAGGTGGAAAATCACAATTTCTATAGAACTAATGAGGAAATTTTGGTTATTATTAAATTATGGTAAAAGCGAGATACTTACGTAGATCAAAATTAAAATAAATCCGGTAATAAATATAGCTAATTTAATATTCCATTCTTACTTATAATTATTAGAAATGTATTGATTCATCAGTTGAGCACTCTCGTTGTTAACGGTATCTTCGGCAGTAATTGTTTATTTGTTTGTATTTCGTGCAAAGCTACACAAGAGATGTCTGCTCTAAGCGTCCCTAATTTAGCAGTGATAGACTAAAGGAAGGACAGTTAGTCATCACCACCCACTGCCAACTCTTGGGCTACTCTTTTACCAAAGAATAATGGGATTGACTGTGACGTTATAACGTCCTCATCGGCAGTTACCTCAATTAACATATTTACTGTTTGCAAGATTCATAACGTAGGTAAATTAATATATAGAATTATATGTAGTAATTGCTCAGCACATTGTTGCCCGATGAAGGCTTAGGTTAGACGACCGATAGCTTGCAAAAAAAACAAAAAACATTTTAACGTAAAGTCCGTGTATAATTCTATAAAACATATTTACTTTTCGCTAAAAGGATTTGAAAACACGGAAACTTGACTGTTTGAAAAAGACAATTAACACAATGGCACTAGATTGCATCTTTTTTACTTTTGTTCTTGCCTCCCCCAATGGAACAGCGGTATGTCTGCGGACTTATACTGCTAGAAACTGGCTTTCGATACCCGTGGTGGGCAGAGCACAGATAGCCCTTTGTGTAGCTTTGTGCTTACTAACAAACAATAACAACTTTTGTTCTTAAATACGTATGAATAGATTTAAGAACCGAAGAAAAACTAGTAATTCCAAAAGATAAGAAAAAAAAAATCTAACTTATTTTTCAATGATTTCCTTGAAAATAACAAGTAAATACGAAGCTTTAAATTAGTAACTGTAATCTTAACAATTGGTATATATATAACAAATTTGCATAGTAAGAAAATAAATTCTTAGTGGATGTGTATAATTTCGTTTTAATAGAAGTTAACCACATTTATTTAGTTCCTGAGTATGGGATTATATTAGCACATTTATAAAAGTTAAAAATTAAAAACCAAATCGGCATACTTCATTTATAGTTTAAAACGCTAAAAAGAAGCTTCACAAACTCAACTAGCACGCATAATGGAGTCGTTAATATCCTCGTTGTCAAAAGAAAACATTAATCAAATGCTGTTTTAGAGATAATATTAGCAAAGTGGCATAATCAGGGAGGCAGTTGTCCGACAGTAAAAGCCTTCTTGATTAATCAAATGCATAAAGAAATTTAGTTTTCAGTGAAATATATAAAGATGGATAGGCTCTTTCCACGGATATACTAATGGAAGAATAAGAGGTTGAATATACAGTTGAGTAAAGAAAGTAACGGCAGAAAATCTCACTAAAAATACACAATACAGCATTGGAAATAATGATAAAAACATGGGGAGAAAAAGGTTAAGAATACCAGACAAAGCCCACCATAAGAAGTGAATGTATACAGAATTTTCAAAAAATAAAAAGCGTTAGTGTAGAGATAGACAACAAGACATTTTTGTTTTCTTCAGAATCCCACGTATAGAATTATCTGCACATAGCCATAGTCATGAACCGGTGAGCTACTGTTGTCTGATGGAATTGTGTCTACACTCTTGTAGTACACCCAACCAAAAGTGCGGAGAGCTGTTTTGTGGAAACGGGATCCATTAAATAAACTATCAAGAAATGGCCAAATAACCAGCAAGGAGTCGCTAAGTAATTGACATATGTGAGGATTGAGAAAGGAAGATACATATAAATTTATAAACAAACATAAAATGGAAGAGAAACTTTTCCGGACGAACGAGTATTGTGTTACAATCGTTCTCTAATTGCACTTCGCTATCCTTTCTTACGTTTCTGGACGAACAAGTATTGTGTTACAATCGTTCTGTAATTGCACTTTGCTATCCTTTCTTACGTTTCCGGACGAACAGGTATTGTGTTACAATCGTTCTGTAATTGCACTTTGCTATCCTTTCTTACGTTTCCGGACGAACAGGTATTGTGTTACAATCGTTCTGTAATTGCACTTTGCTATCCTTTCTTACGTTTCCGGACGAAC